TCTAAAATAGATAATAATAATAATAATAATAATAATAACGTACACACTCAACATAGCTCCGCACTAGGGAAACTCTGTGTCGCGGGTGCCATGGACACACACATAGACATCCACAAATTACACACCAAACTCACGAGAGAAATAAATGTAGGCCATACAAATATTTCTCCCGACCCGGGAATCGAACTTGGGATCTCTGCTTGGCAGTTCGGCATGGTAACCGTTCGGCCACAAAGTCAGTTAAAAATATAATATCTCTATCTGTGGGGGGGGGCTGTTCCATTTGATGTTGTGGGAAAAACAGCAAAACATCTAATTACAAAACAAAAGGAATCACATTACATCGGTATAATTAAATAATAAATATGTAATTTTTAAATTTTCGTCCATTATAGTAAAGCTCAAATTAAACCGGTCGATTTGAAGTGAAATAATTGACGACACCCGTCACTTGTTTCGATTTCGGGTTGGCCAATCGAAGCGCAGTTGTCACAGTAATGATTTAGCAGAATAGTTTTCAAACAAATTAATTGACACTTTGTCTCTATTTCTGGTTATATGCTCGATGTGGTGAGTATTGTGTTTAGTTTTATTGGGAGTATTTTATAATAATTGTACCTTTTTACATCATTTTATTATTTGTTACAACCTTCCTTTTCCTCTTTTATCATCACAATAAGATTTGTAGAAGGCTACATTCTTATTTCTCTAAGGCTACGCTACAACTCTTTTATGAAACGAATTATAGTAGCGACCTAAATATGAAAATTAAATAAAATGTAAATACCATAAATTTACCAATATACAAGACGAAACAGAATAATCTTCTTAAATTTTGTGAGTTTCGAGATTACTGCCTAAATACATAAAAGGAATATTAAAATCAGTATTTGATCGCTTATTTTGATCAAAGTAAGGCTTCCATACACGTATACTGTCGTAGAAGCACTAGAGCTCCCTGTGAATTTCTGTCTCCACGCAGTAATGTGAGCATTACTGCGTTTCGGTTTTGAAGGTAAGAGTGCCGTTGAAATTACAGACACATGGGACTTCTCAACTTATGTCTCAGGGTGACGGGCGCAGTGGTAGTGTCCCTCGGGTCTTTGCGCTTCAATAGTCTGAGCGGCATTGCAACTGTTTGGCTCAACTCACACTGGCGCAGAGTCGAAGCATCGCGACGCATCATGTTTTTCGCCTATAGCATATTCATCTCTATTTTCCCATAATTAAGGTACAAATTTGTGTTATGCAAGTACATAAATAAATATTGTGTTACTTGGGCGTAGTGAGGCGTCAGACGCCGACCACACTGTGATCCGGGCGCACTCTAATGCGAGCGTCGTCGCACGTCGACGCGAGTCGCCAGGTGTTGTAGTTGAAATAGAGGACGCAACGCGACGCTTCGACTCTGCGTCAGTGTGAATTGAGTCTTATGGACCGCCGGCCGTATCGCTTACCACCAGGCGCACGACTTATTCGTCCCATCACTTGGTAACATAAAAAATGTAAATTGCTCTTGCTACGACCAGAGGACTGACAAATAAATAAAAATTTTATAAAACTGAAATAAAAATTTAACATATTCCTAATCTGATAATGCAACTGCAATTTTTAACTAATTGCAACTGGTTGCAATCGATGCTAAATATGCAACAGTTTCTATAAGTCATATTTAATTTTAAAAACCAATTAATATGTTATAAGATTTTTTTTAAAAGCCGAATCGTGTTGCCTGTTGTGGTGTAAGCAATTTATATAGTGCCCCGCCATCTAACACGCAACTTCATTCTATAAATAATAAAACAAAAGAAAATTAAGGCGACGACACAATACAATGAGAAAGTAAATGCCATTGTTTATTTAGTTCTACCCCATTAAGGCGTTTCCTATAAAGTAATTTTTGGGGAATTGACAAAATTTATTTAAAAAATGGGCATACGTAACACCAGCGTTGTATGCTATTATTGGGCTGGTGTCAAATATGACGAAAAGAATTTAGTAACAAATATAAATTTAATATGAATGAAAATAGGAAAACGTGTTGTGTATTCGTGTTCATGCGATGTGAGTATACGAATGTGTAGAATAAAAAGGTCATACAATGGAACATAAATAGAAAGGATAATTTTTATTAAAAAAGGAACCGATTGCAAACTTAGCTTATATGTTCATACAAACTAAAAAGTTAATAATCGCTTACCGGAAAGTGCGTGAAGCCGGATTTATCCCCTAGTTTGCCACTCAAGCCCGTAATACATGTTGGCCGAGCCTAGGCGAGTGAAGGCCAATGTCAACGTGTAGACAGCCTATTTGCCTTGCTGTGCCTTCGCTCGGTGTCGCTCGCCTAGCTAACCGAGTGAAGGCGAGCGCCAACGTGTATAGGGCTCATTTGGCGTGGTTTGACACGACTCGCCGTCACTCGCGACCACTCGTCTCACTTCGAAGCGGTGTTGGTTTTTCTGCACAAATCAAAGGCGCTCGCCTGCGCTCGGCCAATAGTTTGTCCGCCCGCCATGGCTCGATTGGCGTCTATCGCGGTAATACGTGCAAAATGTCGCTACGTAAAAATCAAGATTTTTCAAGTTCTTGGAGTTTTATTAGAATGAATCTATTATTTGGAATCCCAAAGACCTTTTCGATTATCATCTTACCTTGTTCTATTTTTGTAAATACTCACCATCGACCATCCATCGACCACCTTCTTTTTCCTTTTCTTTTTTAGTACTTTAGTGCGGTATACATTACGCTCATTAACTAAATAGCAGCAACTGCAATAACTTCTACGTCGGCGTCGTCCATATTGTTTCAGTGCACAATGAAAACTGACAGCGGCCAACGTGTGGGCAGCTCCACAAAACTCGTCTAATCAATTTGCTTACGCTCGTATTAGCCTAGGTTCAGCCAACATGTAGACGGTAGCACTAGCCGTGTATCAATTTGTCTACGCTTGCGTTGGCCTCGACTCGGTTGACATGTATTGCGGGCTTTAGAGGTGGAATAATTTCTTGAAATTTAAATGGACCCAATACTGAAATACCCTCTTTCCAACAAAAAAATATTAAAATCGGTTCACAAATGTGGAGTATCGAGTAACGCGTACAGCCGAATTGAGAACCTCCTCCTTTTTTGAATGAAAATGGTTAAAAGTGATATAGAATTGATATGAAATCGACACAGTCGCCGGTTGGTTAACCGGACACAGTCGTCGGTTGCCGCAACCGCAATTTGTATGAAAATAAAATATTCGTTTCTATAAAGTTGCCGGTATCTGACATAAGATTCACATTTGTGCGACACTTTAAGTTACGAAAATGACTGAAATAGCTAAAATTTAAATTGCATAAATTCTAACATCAATATATATTCTACGTATCTTTAAAAGTAATAAAATGTGGTGCAAACATTGATCTACCAATAAGGCCAATCTGTGCAACGAACCAATTTCACATTTGTTTAGCATAATTAATACTCTGGTTCGTTTGTAATTGCTTGACTTTTTAATTCCAAAATTCGCCTTCTATCGTCGCTTCAAAAATAAATGATTTTTTTCTGTCAAATAAACAAATAGTTAACTAAATGTTGCTACAAAATTTACTAACTATATTGATTACATGCTAAAAAATAATGCAAAAGGGAATAAGTGACAGATTCCCACTTTTTCACAATCCTTGTGCGAATAGTGCTGCGACAATGGTGCGACTTTTTTTAATGTAGCAGTGAAATTTACCATGGGTCTAGTCTATACAGCTTAGATAACTTCACCGGGCTATCTACCACGTAATTGTGTCTCTGGGGTAGAAATTAGTAGATGAAATTGTAAGATAGTGTATATAAATCGAACCTTGATTTCCCTTTGTCGAGCAAATTAAAAAAGTTAACGGAGCTCTTTTTCAAATATAACTTAAAATCCATTATAAAATGCAGGGGTAGTTCTATTATTATTCTTTTCTCTGTCCGTAAATGCGAGTTCAGTTTGGTTTGTGTAAATACAGTTGTATACTAATCTAAATAAAGTCTTTAATTACGTTTGTTGCGAGCCGATGTTGCAAAAAAATCAATTTATTTTTCCAATTTATTTAAAAGAAATTACAATATAAAAAGTAGACGATAAGTAATCGAAGTTGGATTACGAATGCCGCGTTATCCGATGCTCCGAGTCGCCGTTTCCACTTTTGACGTCAATCGGTCACGTTGTCTTCAGGTACAGGGGTGACGCTGCACCCCGAGCATCGAGCTAGCGCGAAGCGCTGATAATGCGCCTCGTGTAATTCACTACTATTTTCAGGTCGCCACCGCCACGGTTGACTGAGACCATGGGACCTGTAAAGGGTCCGAAACGTCGGTTTGTTTGAAAAAACAAATATACGCCATTTAAATCCGGAAAAATAGTTTCATTTCCTATGTGTAACAATCGCGAAAACCTAAGAACTCGATACAAACATGCATACTTCAAATACGTACATAGCGGAAGCGTTAGAACTGATAGCTTTTTAAAAAGCGGTCTAAATCTTGTAGACCGCTTTTTTAAAAAGCTAACAAGCGGGCCTAATCTACATATAGCTCTGACACAATTTTTCTGGATAGTAGTTCCAAACTTTTTTTATCAACAATATTATTATAGTAATAATATATTTCGGAGAGTATGCTCATGAGCTCCATCAGCTCATCCCGTTGCTTACCCTTGGACATCCAGACGGCGGGATATCATCCTTACTTGGTTGGTATTCCCCTCAGGCGTACTGAAAGCTTTTCGTCATCTTTTATTATACGCACAGCCCAGGAATGGAATTCCCTGCCTGCGACTGTGTTTCTGAGCACACACAACCCGAGTATCTTTAAGATGCGACAGAATTAGTATCTTCAGGGCGAGTTGGTTCCATCGTAAATCCTATCTTTGCTTCAGGGCTAGGCACTGACCAAGAGCAAGTCCATTTACTTAAAAAGTCTACATTTTATTTTTGATTAATATCTAATTTAATATTTTCTTTTCTGTTATACAGGTTATAAAGATGCTCGTGCTCGTGGTAGCACTATTTGCGCTGTGTTGGCTTCCTCTACAAAGCTACATGCTACTACAGTCCTTCTTACCTTTAATAAATGAGTAAGTATAGATATTGTCAAGTAACCTAACCTCCGAAAAGGAGCTAGCAGTGTTTCTAGTTTTATAATAAATAAATATTAGATAACATCACATACGTTGCTCTGATCCCAAACTAAATAACTAAAGCACTTGTGTTATGGAAATAGGAAACGACGACGACAATGCCACAAACACCTAGACCCGTGACAATATAGAAAACTTAGTTTTCTACATTGACCCGGCCGAGGATCGAACACGGGACCTCAGATATGGCAACACCATGAAAACTGTTGCGTAAGCCACTCGACCAAAGAGGATGTCTTTATATTTCGTTTAAGCAATTGTTAAATGAAAATCTAAATTATTCTAAAAAATCTTTTTTATTATTAAAGTAGTCGGGACAGTCATTGTGTATTTGAACAAAAATGGGCAGAAAAAAACATAGCTACTGGTGCTTTCAAGAGACAAAATACAGTGTCGCCATATAAATAATTAAAAATATTTCTTTTATAGTAGAAAATTGTATCTTCTGTATTGAACAAAGCAAAGTTAAAATTATAATTAAAAACTAGAAATATACGATGACTAGGACTGACAACAAAAGAGTAATTTATTTTTCGTAATCATTTAAAAATCCATTAAATTGGATTAATTAAAAAACCCATTAAATTGGATTATTGCAAAAACCCATTAAATTGTTTTCCTTTGTCATTACCTAACTTTGCATTTTAAGTTTCTATTAAGTAACTACTGTTCTGAAACATCTATACAGCCGGAACTTTGTCGTGTAGGCTACAATCTAGCATTAAAAGGAATATTTCAATTATCACTTTTCGTACAGCGTCATGTTGAATTATTTCAACATGCCACAAGTGCACGCCGCCCGCTCTGATCAATTACAAACCAGACCAAGCAAAACTGCTCTACTTAGAGAAAGCGTAGTTGAATGGCTTCGAAGGTCTACAAAAAAGTTTCAATTGACATAAGGAATTGCAATGATTGAATTGAAATGCTACAGAGTTTAGGACAACGTAATTTAATTACATCAATGAGATGACATTCTACTATATTACAGATTTCGTTTAGGTAGAATTGATATTAGAATACAGTATATAAATTATTGCATAAGTGTGTATAAAAAAATGAAACTTTGTATGCTACTGGGTGGATAACAGTGATTCTATGTTAATTTTTCGTAACACCTTTTGTAACCTGTGTATCCAATGATCTTATGTACAAAAAAGGGTGTATCACTCAGAAATAAATGAATTTGAATTTGAGTTTGAAAAATGTCGACTGTACAAAAAAAAACTTAACTTAAAAAAAGTTTCGAACGCTGACGAATTACATAAATTTCAATAAATTATATTAGTGGCAGAAGGTCACACTCCGAAATGACAACATTTCAGGTGAGAGATTTAAAGGTCTATCCACACATATCCGGGCCGTGCCCGGGCCGTGGCCGGGACGTGGACGGGCCGTGCTCCGTTAGGGGTCAAAAACATATCGTTGTGTATATTTTGTATGAACTCGTTCACGCATGTCCGTGTCCGGGCCGGGGCCGAGACAGGCCCGCAGTTCATACAAACTAGCACGCTCCGTCCACGTCCCGGGCGTGTGGATAGTCCTTTAAGATTCTACCAACGAAAGTAGTCAATAACTTTTTTATGCTATAGGAGAGTTATCATAACTATATTTTGTTCCGTGTAGTTCGTATGTTGTTTTTTAATTCTTTCCTTAAAGGAAAAGGCTAAGGTTTTTAAAACCAGTGCGGGCGTGTGCGTGTGCGTGTGCGTGTGCGTTTGCGTGTGCATGTGCGTGTGCGTGTGCGTGAGTGGCAAGTAGCTTTTTAGTCGAGAGTCAACAGCCAGTTAGTAATAACGTTCTTACATTCCGCTCTGCACAAAGGGTGAATATTAAGAACAGTGTTAATCTTATTATACATAGGGCGCACTGTAATCTTCCGGAATTGGCCACTTACATAAACAATATTTAAAAAGTAATTACAATATTTGAAAATGGAACTATTTGGCTGTAGAATACAGTTTGTTTCATCTGATTGTCACTTGTTTTTGCATTGTGGCGTCATTTTAGAAATTGGTTGTCTACATCACCATAGATTTAACTCGTGAAAATTTTCGTAGTGTGATTTTCTACGACTTTAAGTGTAATTTAATAGGTGGTGAAACATGGATTTGTAGTTACGATCCCAAAACAAAGCAGCAATCGAGCGTATGGGTCTTTCAAGATGAGCCGAAACCAACCAAAGTAGCGCGCGTGCAAAGTGCCTCTAAGCGGATGATTGCTTCTTTTTTTAATAAAACTGGACACGTGGCTACTATTGCTTTAGAGAATCGTTATACCGTGAATGGTGATTGGTATACGAGCATTTGTTTACCGGAAGTTATTGACAAACTCCGTAAAAATAACCGTAAACGCCCGTATCATTTTGCACCACGATAATGCCAGTTCACACGCGGTCAGACAGACAAATGAAATTTTGAAGGTGAATAACATTGACCTTATGTGCCTTCCCGCGTACAGTCCCGACCTGGCACCTTATGACTTTTATTCATTTCCAAAACTTAAGAACCAGTTACGCGATCAACGATTTTCATCGCCTGAAGAGGCTGTCGAAGAGTATGAAACATATGTTTCAGAGATTATCACGGAAGAGTGGCATAAATGTTTTCAAAATTGGTTCATTCCTATGAAAAAGTGCACTAACGCTAACGGAGAAAATTTTGAGAAACAATAAATTCATTTCTGACCCTATATAGTATTTTTTTCTTATTCATTCCGGAAACTTATAGTACGCCCCACGTATACCTATGTTTGTAGCCTCCCAGGAAATAAAAATGACACTGTGCAAAAGTAACGGAGACTGTAACTGATGGACAGACAGTGTATTTACGTCTAATAGTGTTGAGTTTATTAATCATAGGGGATTTGGTAAAAGCTCTTTGAAGGACAAACAGTTGCCGTACTAAAAAGGGCCTCACGTAGTTTATAGAGGTAAGAGGTCGGATATCTGAAGATCACAATGTGGATTTATTATACCAAGGGTACGATATAACAAAGTTCTAAATAAAAGGACATTTTGTTTCACATACTTATAACAACAACAGAATGGCATATTTAACGAAGTTATTTATTTCAGCTCATTATTGTGTCCCAACAATTTTACTTTACAAATTCTTTACTAGAGGGTGTAATATGCAATAAAATTATCTTCAAGCACGTTGTATATTCCTGAACTTTAATAAAAATATGCACCGCTCTCAATGAGTGCACATATAAGAGTCTAGTTTAGTTTTCTCTCTAACTTAACAGTTTCTAGAGAATAGTGCTTACCGGTTTTTTCTGCGGTATTAAAACCAGAAAAGTGTTAATGGAAACTTCTGTGCTATTCCGGACATCAGTTCTACGAGCTATGGGCCCTACCCACTGCCACTTCAACTTGCTAATCCTTCGAGCTATGTTGGTGACTTTCGTTCTTCTACGGATCTCCTCATTTCTGATTCGATCACGTAGAGAAATGCCGAGAATTGCTCGCTCCATCGCTCGTTGAGTGACTTTGAGGCTTTTTTATGAGGCCCATAGTAAGTGACCTCGTCTCAGAGCCGTAGGTCATCGCTGACAACACGTACTGCTCGAATACTTTTGTCTTCAAGGACTGCGTTATTGCGGACGAGAAGACGTCTCGGAGCTCCCCGAAAGCTGCCCAACCGAGTCGGATTCGACTATTGACCCTTTCCCGAAGTTAGCCCTGCCTAATTGAATGGTTTGTTTCGAGGTAGACATGCTCGTCAACAACTTCGAGAGTAGAGGTTCCCACTGTTATAGGGGTGTCCGTATAGGCGTCTCCGTATATTCTAAAAATATTCTGTATTTATTGTAATAAAGCTAATATCTCTAACAATGGGGGCTGTTCTATTCGGTGATGTGGGAAAAATAGCAAAACGTCTAATTACAAAACAAACGGAATCACATTTCATCGGTAATTAGATATTAAATGTGTAATTTTACAATTTCGTCCATTATAGCAAAGCTCAAGTGAAACTGGTCGACTTGAAGTGAAACAATTGACGACACCCGTCAACTGTTTCGAATTCCGGCTAGCCAGTCGGAGCGCAGTTGTCACATTGCATGTAATGATATGGCAGAAGTGTTTTCAATCAAATTAAATGACATTTTGTCTCTATTTCTGGTTATATACTCGATGTTAAAAGACAATGTCAAGTATGAAGTTTCATTTGCATCATGAGTCTTTTAATTTTGTCGAATATTACTTATTTGACAGTAATTGTTTCGGACGGATGTCAGACGAAGAACGAAAGTAAGGCCAGAACCAAGAAAGCCCAAAACTTTTTATGTGAAATGACTCCACTAGTTTGTTATAATTATTAATACAAATACGGGGCTGGTAGCTGTAAACTGGGTGACGAAATGTCACAGATTTATTATAAATGGCGCTACGGCTAAAACGTCGTTGAAAAACAAAATAACAAAATACAAAGGTGCGACTCAAGCACATAGAAAAATTAGGTCCGGTCCGTGAGGTCCGCTGGTTCGTTCCTTAGCTTAGTTGGTATAGTGTCTGGCATGGTATGCTTGAACACGTCGGTTCGAACCCGGCCGGATCGAAATATTTTTTTCTGAGTGTTCTCTGCGATCTTTGTATTAATAATTATAACAAATTAGAGGATTGTTTTACTTCTTGGAATAAACTTGAACGACAAACTACCGGCTAATTCCTGGCAGTAAATGAAATTATAACAATCGAAGGTTACTTATACTGCCCGATTTATTGATTTTTGTAATAGAATGAAACGAGGTCCCAACATGCCCTAAACCCTTCAACTGTGAAGGAAACTTATTCGCTTTGCATACAAATCTAAACCAATATGTTTTGTGTTATACAAACGTGTTTCTCAACAAAAAAATACATTGAAATCTTTTTAGAGCAATTAAAATAAAAAAATTGTATTTATACCAATGTTTTTTTTTTCAAAATGGCCATTTTAAAGATATAACCTATTTCCCGCAAAAAAATGTTACAAAATGAAGTTACTTATAGAAGAAAAATTTCAATTTATAATCTGGCGGTACGGTAAATTAGTCTGTCTCGAAGAACGAAAAATGTTACTAGTAACATCTGAGATGCAAATGCCATGGAGTGGTTAGAATAGATGAGACAACAAGAAATACATAAGGGGCAGTTTGAAAGTAGCATCAGCCACGGGAAAATCATCAAAGAACAGCAAAATCATCGTTTCTCGTGTTAAATGAGCATGTAAAGCAGGATTAAGAGTCACTTGGAAGACTTGCTTTAACCCGCCACGCGTCCTGTGATTTCATACACTATTTTTGAAAACTTTAAATTTAAAAAAAATATATTTTTTTGCATCAAGAATGCACCTGTTTGTGAAAAGCTCGCGAGCTGCACATGTGCGTTTACGTAGTGCGATCTGTTCGCGTGCGACTCGCTCGCATTATTAGATGACATTACACAGGCGCACTTAATTGCACGCGTGTGTGGGTGTAGCGTACGTGCAGTGTATTGGCGACGCATTCACCAGATCTGTACACAACATAAAGACCAAAAAATTGTGAAAACATTATTGTATGAAAGTAATATGAAGAAACTGATCTACTGTTACTTAAGACGCTGACAAGCATCAATGACCTTGCGTCGATGACCTTGAGCGATAACGCGCCTACTATAATTTCTCCAATAAGGTGGCGCCATGCGCCCCGACGCGGTAAGAGTGTGGTAGTTGGACTTTCCGCTTGATTTAACATAATATTGATTGCGGCTAATAGATGGCGTTGTACTTAAAATACACACGTGCTATCAAACCAAAAAATATCAAAGCATATAATAACTGGACATGTTATGCAAACAAGAAACAACCCACACCTCGAGTGAAATTGAGGTATTTATTTAGGTAGAACACCACAACAACAAACCGACGTTTCGGGCCCTTTACGTTTGGGACATGGGACCTGTAAAGGACCCGAAACGTCAGTTTGTTTGAAAAAACAAATATACGCGATTTAATCCGGAAAAATAGTTTCATTTCCTATTTGTAACAATCACGAAAACCTAAGAACTCGATATGTCCAAATACATATCTCGTAAGTATCGTGCTCGACGGTAGACAGCCGATTACAATACAATATAAATTAATTTGTCAAAACTGGTCAAAACAGAGGTCTGGCAACGTATCACACGAACGCAATCTACGCAGCAGTTTTCAACGTTGCAATTTTACTAAATAATCAAGGACGCAAACAATAATTTCATTTTTGTTTTGAATACTTTATGTTTTAGGTTCTAATCCAACCAAAAATATTTTTTTTTATTCTCACCTAATGGCTAAAGACTTTTAATATTTTGTTTTGATTTCAACGAATTGGTGCATTATATTTACTTATTTACGTATTTTTTGTATATGATATTTTTTCACACTGTTAAGTGCCTGTCCATAATTTGCAAGCAAATATTTAGCTCGTACTTTAGTAGGCGAAACCTACTTTTTACTCCTAAATTTGTTATTTGTCTTTTATTTAAAACAAATAAAGTGTCTGGATCAAGATTAGTACCATTTAAATAACCTCACCAAATTTGGTAGTAAGCAAATTTGGTTTGCCCGAGAAAAATATGTCAAAAAATAACCACCAGTCTCACTGTAATCCAGTTTTTGTATTACCTATGACAATAAGCAATATAGTAGGATTTTCAAGCTACACTTCAAGATACGTGTTACAGGATATACTATTTTCAAAGTTCCACGTGCTATGTTATCGCCTAAAAACTTACACAAGAACACCATATTTAAGCTATTTTGGGCACCTCATCGCCTTAATACTCAGTATATTTGGAAATGATTCTGTAGGAATTTTTATAAACGCTGAAGTCGCTAATCGACGAGAAATGTAATCATATCCTTCAATTATTTTATATTATCCTTTTACAGGTACAGATACATAAACGTGATCTTCTTTTGTTTCGACTGGCTGGCCATGAGCAACTCGTGCTACAATCCCTTCATCTACGCTATTTACAATGTAAGATGCACATAATAATAATAATAATATATATGCAATGCGTATAGATTTGAATGTCGCGGCGTTTCAAGAGATACATCGTAAGTGCGAAGTGACGTTCCCAACCCATACTGGTCCTACATGGTGCACAATGGCCTCATACGAAAGTGTAGAATGTCTTTATTAAAAAAATATAGATTTTTGTAACATACGTTGTAATAAATGACCGTAGCAGTTTTTTCCCTCGCACATTACATATTATTATTATTACATATTGGTTTTGTAACGGGAACAAATAGACCTGCCACATTACCTGGTTTTGTAGCAGGAATAAATTCCCAATGCAGGTAATGTAATTTGGTCTATGTACGGGTAACAAGAGAAGTGAACGTACATAAAACGGTGTCGCATAAACCTATTTATTATAGTTATCTACACTGCTGCTTATCATATTGTCATAAATAAATACATTTATGAGGGTAAGAAAATATTCAGATCCTTCCGACCGAACCAAAACGGCGTTGCATTTGACACTTGCATGATTTATTCTTTGTGGAAACGTAATGAAAATACTCTTTCTGTTATAAGACATATACAGAGTGTGTTGTACATTTATAATGAATTTATGGAAACATTTTGTATATAAAACAGAGGAACGCATGGCCACATACTCATCTGATGTTCAACGATAATATGACCGACGATATTCGTCTTTTGTCTAAAAATTGTCTACTCACTCGAGCCTTGAACAGCCTTAAATTAATTGTAGCTGAATCAGAAGTTGAAAATAACAAAATAAGTAGAGTGTCAACTTTACTTATACAAATATTTTGATGACTCTCACCATAGTAACAAAGAGGAGTACAAAGCAATAGCGCAATGTGTGCTTGCGCGCCGCGCGCAGTGTACAAACGCAGATATTCGCATAATAATGAAAGGCGCGTTAGAACGACCAGTGTTATGCAATGCGAGTGCATGGCAAGATTATGCGAATGTGTACATCCGTACACGGCGCGGACGCACACATACAAGAGGTTACCATACTTGTCTTATTATACTATGCTATCATTTCTGACGTCGTATTTTTTATGGTATGTGTGCCTAGTGGTAAGCGACAAGCCTATCCATAACAGTTGCAGTGTCACTCAGAGCTTCAAATCGCAAAGATCTGAGGGGCACTGCCACTGTGCACGTCACCTTAATACATAAGTTGACAAGTCCAATATGTCTGTAATTTTAGGAGCACCCTTATCCTTCAAGACTGGAACGCAGTAATGCTCCCATTACCGCTTCACGGCAGAAATATGTAATAATAATAATAATTTATTTATTTATTCATGAACAACCAACAGCTTCTTACATTTAATAAAAACAAGAATATAAACATAAAGCCAATTACAGTTTTCCACCTATAGCTTCAAACAAATCATACACGAACATTAAACAAACGAACAATAAACAGTATTTCTTGACATCATGCATTTACACAAATATAATAACCCAATACCTGCGCTAATCACAATTTATTTAATAAACATAGGTAATAAAAAAATAGGTAAATAGAATGTCCGTGAGTTTACGCTTTAGCGCATCAACATTACAATTGAATATACCAACTTCCAGGTCATGATTGCTCAGCACACTATCCAAGCTCTTGCTAGCTCTACATAGAAAACTATTTTGTCTATTGTCAGTCCTCGCTAAGGGAACTGCAATAGGGTGATAGTATCTCATAGAATGAGCAGGAACAATAAACGAAATATCACCCAATAAGTCCAAGCAGTCAACATTACCATTTATAATGTTTAGAATATAAGCTTTAGAGGTAATAGATTCAGATCCTTACAGAGACGTGGGTAGTCGCATGAATTATAAGACTTACTCATTTTATAGCATAAGAATTTAATAAATTTGATTTGGACTTTGATCAATTCTCTCTATATACACTTGGTATCTCGGACTCCAAATTTGGGAAGCATATTCCAACTTACTACGAACATATAACATAGAGACAATATAATATTCCTAAAGTTCTTGACTTTGAGAAACAGACTTAGTTACGCATTATGAATCTAAGAGACTTAGTAGCCTTGAAGATATAATAATGTAAGAATAATGCACATACTTAATATAGCCCCGCACTAGGGAAACCTTATGTCGCGGGTGCCATGGACACATACATAGACAACCACAAATTACACCCAAACTCTCGAGAGAAATAAACTCTTTCACAAGGAGCTCCACTGCTACTAATAAAGAGTCATACGTAATTGGTGTTCCGCTCGTGTGGCATAGATACAATATTTTCAACACATTTGAAAAATAGAAAATTAAACTATATAGTTTATTCATATCATATTTAGAAACTTTTAAGTATCTCATATTTAAGGAATTTCTATTTTTGTGCATTATTTTTTTGCATTGGCTTTATATACAAATAAAATGTACTACTCTAGAGAGGGTTCTATGTCGTACTTGATGACGTCACAAAATTGAGTAAAAACTTCCAGCCCAGTTTCAGGTTTTATTTCCAAAAAAAAAAGTATATACCATATTACATAAAGAAATGTAACGCGGCGGCGGCGGTACTACACGTACAAATGCAAGAGCATACTATCAGATAGGTCCAGGCAGTTGTTCCCTCTAGATATATGTCGATCGTATTCAATCGTATCAAAATGATTCGAACAGCACCTGAGATCCAATAACCCGGTTACTAGCATCTAAATAACCCGATGATTTTATGTTTTCATGGGTCATGCGCGCAATATTCGTCTTTATCACTAAAATTTTAGAGACTATTCAACAATTCACAATATTATTGTTATCTCGTTCATTCACACGTGAAGTCCCCATTCACGGCACGGGTCGCCTTCTCACTCTTCGTTTGGGTTGATCATTTGTTCGATAGAGCATTCGTTCAATAGAACCGTCGTTCAAATCGAACCAAAAAGTGAAGCAATCAATCACCGAGTCAACTGGTCAACAGGTTAACAGATCAATATGTCTATCAATCATTCATCCTAATTGCTTCGTAGCGTAGTATCCATTACATGGTAATCTGTTTTTCGGTATGTTGTATTTATTTAAGAGTGCACTAGCTAATATTAAAATATTAATGAATAATAAATTAGTAATTTTGAATGCTCATAATTTTTTTGTTATGTATTTTTGGTTTGTAACACCGTTACTTTTCCTAGAAGGAAATTTTAGTGTCCTGGGTGTGTTTTATCAATGATGCATTTAACAATAGACACATTACCCATCAGCAGGATAGAATAAAAGCTAATTGTATAATTTGAAACTTTTAAACGCCATATGGAAGTATCATGAGTGACGGGCGGGTAAGCCGCTAAAATATCGAACATATGATCGAATCATTTGACCCGATCACACTGCCCATGGGTCATGATTGAACCGGGTTATCAAAAATGATCGACCAACACAGGTCTAGTTCCCACAAGAACTCAACTCCTAGAAACTTATCGACAGTTCTGATGTTTGTATAAATAAAATTTGGTTCAACTTGTCACCATTGGGAAGGAAAGTTGCGAGGGAAAATGTTAACACCGCGATACAGAAATGAAGTAAAAAGGATCATTGCTATCTAGCGGATTTATGGAGAACTATCTGACAAACAAAGTTAGTTAGTAAAGTCTATGATATAAAATAGTTTGTTACACTGCTTGAATTAATATATATTTATGTATATGTATTAATTACATACATATTCAATAAATACATATTAATTTATATATATAAAATTATAAATTAAATAAAGCCGACTATTTTATATTATAGTCTGTCTTTTTTGAAGACAGTAAAATGACATTTGTAGGGTTGCCAGTTTTTATACAATTTTAAATAGTTATGTAGTTATTGTCGATAGTTTTATCGATAGATTGTTGATTAGAAAAGTACTGAATGGAACGACATTACTAATAGCGTTATAGCTTTCTTTGTTCTTATTTCGACAGTTGGCCTGTTAGTATCGAGATCAATTTTGATTCATATACATTTTAACAAGAATAACCGGGTTTGATTATCTATAAGTGAAAAACTTTAAAACATATCTCCTTTTTGTATTTTTCATAAACATTGTTCTAAATACAATGTATGTATGAACTTACAAAAATTGACAATTCAAATCAACTTGTGCTGGAGTAATTGGATAAATAAATAGATCGAGGATGTTTCAAATTCGCCTATTTATTCCATAAACGTGACCAGAAAACAATTTCGCCTATTTATTCCATAAACGTGACCAGTATTCAGTCGATAGTCGATAGAATATTTATCGACTGGAATCACTAGCTGTCCGTAAGCAGGCAACACTTTTGAGCAATGAACTGTCATTTTACTTCGTCTTCGAAAAAGCCAAACTATAGTTGCTATAAATTCGCGGCGCGATTTGGCGCGAGGTTTTATTCTGGTTCTACTTCGCTGCTTCGAGCGGGGCAGCGCAGCGGGAGTGTAAAAATAAAACAAAAACCAATTATCGCCCTGGGACTCATTATACTACTACTTACAAACAAGAGTGATGAAAAGTAATAAACTTATACGAAACCATTGATAACATTGGAAGCACAGACACTGTGATTGGAAATGAAACAATTTTTCAGATTCTGAATCACGTACCAAATTAATGTCTCGGGCCCTTTAAGAAATCCATGGGCACCACTGCCTGAGATGGGAAAGTCATATTCATATTAATTAACACCCAATTCTTGACTACAGTTACAAAAGTGTGTATATAAAGTTAGAACGACGCGACGTTATATTTTCTTAAACACTACAGAATAATAATTATTTTATATATAAAATTACTTTACCACTCATTAATACGCTATGATAATCAACATCCACAAATAATTGATAAATCACAGTTGGAGTTAATTCACTAAGAAATATTTTTAATTTATTTATTTTCTCAACTCTCATGATGAAGTTACGTCTGGTGGAAAAAAAGTTTGTAATGGATTTTGTCGAAAATACATCGATCACATCAAGACGATCAACTC